CTGCCCGAGGGGGTTGGATCAAGTCACCCAGCTCTTGGTTAGGCTCCGGTCTTCCCTTAATGGAATTCCTTAAAGGCATTTATTAAAGGTACGTTCCACTCATTTTAACCTGCCTGTCATTACAGGCCTTGGGAAATAGTTACGGAAATTAAGAGAAAGCAAACGAATTTGAGAAGGGTGTTGAAATGCATTTTTATAGCTTAGAAGCAAACCAATATAGATAAGCTGGGGCTGCCCAGATTGTTTAACTCCTTCCTGGCATTTGGCAAGGGGGAGGCTGGCGGGTCGGATTTCAAAGTAGGAGATGCTATTTCATCCCATTGGAGGGTTACCATGTTGAGACAACGCCTGGCTGAGGGATAGTAAAGAGAATGTGCTAAAGCTCCAGATATGGTTACTTTTGTTCTCAGCCTGCACTTCACCCCGAGGTAAGCCTGGGAGGGGTATTTAATTTCTAAGAATCATGTCACCTGTTTATGGGAAAGCACGCCACATGCCTCAGCCTCCCCTCCCCGGCGAGGGGACAAAACAGCTACGGATGGCCCCAAGGACTAGGAAACGCCTTATGAATGGCAGAGGGGACTGACATCCAAGCAGGTCAATGAAAACCAAAATCAGTCCGGATCGTCCATGCAATTGCTGATAGCTTCGTGAAATGGGGCGAGGCCCATCCGTGCTGTGGCGCTCGGGTGGCGGGCCCTCCGCGGGGCCAGCGGTGTACCGGGTTCCTTGTCGGGTCTCAGCCTCAAATCCCACAGGCCTGCTATCAAGCCCCACCTTCCGTGCTCCTGTAACCTGGGCTGTGACTCTGAACCTCATGTATTCCACGGGTACACCGGGCAGGACTGGCCCTGAGCCAAGGGGACCTGCTTTGATTTCACAAATGGAAAGTGCCACGGTCTCCTTCATGGGCTGGGATGGGGTGAGGGCGTAAAGCACTATCCAGAGGACCCCGAGCACTCTACTTTTACTTTACGACCAGTTACATCCTAAGACCAATAGAGACCCCTGTATGAATGAGCCCTGAAAGCCAGGAAGTGCTATTTCTGCGTCAGATGTTCTCCACACCATCCATGTGTTCATCTCAGAGGGTCTGCTGTGGACTCTCTTCTTAGCCTGGGGCCCCACGTGTTACCAACAGAGCATCTACGTGCAGGAAACAGGAGCTGCTTTCAGAAGTAAGCTACCCTGGGGCCTCATTGAGAATGACCAACCTGCATTGTTCAGGTAAGTCCCCTGACACAATAGCTTGTGTGCCTGCATGGAAGTCCACGTTGTTCCGAATCTTTTGTCCCATCAACTTAAGCTACAGTGAGTGAATTCCTTGAGGGAAACTCATTACAGTGTCAGAAGCTGGTGAAATCATCCTTGGGGTGCAGTCTTTTCTCTTGAGAATGGCTCCTTTCATAATTACATTCTCTACTAGGAATCTATTATATGATCGAGTTTTTCCTCCAAAGACATCACTAATCATACGGTGAAAACGTAACTACAATTGAAACTACAAGATGTTTTGTTAAATGCCATATTCAACGCTTGGTAATCATCAAGCTCAAGAATGTTCAAGAACTGGTGCTTGGCCTCTCCTTCAATACTGCCATTGATCACTCACACCTTTGTTCTGAGGATCATGACGTTCTCCTCCTCTGTTTTCTTTCTTTAAAATAATTCCGTAGGAGTTTAAAAGAATATTCTAATCACAGCGCAAGCTTTGCTACAGCATTCTATGTTGAGATTGTGTTATAGCACCATGTCCTGGCAGAAACTGTGTGAGAAAAAGACTTTCCTGGAATTTATTGGAGTCATCTAGTGCCTTTGTGATAGGAAGAAACCTGGCGGGGGGGTCAGACAGCCAGTGCCCAGCGTGGACTCTGACCTTAAGCAAATCACTTCTGCTCTGGGGCTCTGTTCCTTCTGCTGCGCAACCAGGCACTGCCGTTCTCGCGTCCAGAGACGCCATCCCCACCGGATGCCCTGCCGTCCAGCCCCCGTGCGGTCATTACCAGGAGCACCCACGTGTAAAGTTGAATTAAAAAAATATAAAACAATCCACTTGACAGAGACGCCAATACTGACGTGGTGACAGAGGTAAGAGAAAGAGCTCCTGCCCCCAAGGCCAGTCACTCTTGGGGTCACACCGAGGGGAGGCCAAATACACAATTGCCACGTAGAGAAAAGGGACATGAGAGAGAAGCTGGGATCTGAATTCTTAGCTTGCCCTCGGTGTTGCTGGGGACAGAGGCAGTCACCAGCAATGGGAGGGACAAAGCGGGAAAGGCCACATTGAGGGCAAGGAGCCAGACCCGAGGGGTGGCTGGAAGCCGACGGGAGGACAGCGGGCCTGGTGGGAGCGGTGCAGGTGGCGCTCGCAGGGATCAGCCCCACGCCTGGGTCCAGGCTAAGGGCTGACTTGGACTGTTCATCCTGGAGGCAGCTCTCGGTTGGGGAAATATGGTGCCCAAGTCACTAGCTCACTGGAGGGGTGGCACCTGAGAGCCTGCTGGCGATGAGGACACAGTGAGCGCTGAGGTGTGCCTGGAGGCTGACCCCTCTCTTTCAGGAAAACTCGAGACTTCCCCGGGTACAGCCTCTGACCTAGTGGGGCAACCAGTTCAGCAAGCAGCAGCGGAGCGCCGGGCCTGGAGAGGGAGCACTGCAGGGACCCCGGCACCCCAGGCCCTGTGCCAGGCAGGGCACAGGCACCGAGTCAGACCGCAGCGCCCGGAATCGCCCCCACAGTCCCAGGCCTGCCCGGCTAGCTCGGGTGGGCAGGCCTTAACCACTCAGGGTCCTTTCTATTCAGTGAGAAGGTGGACAACAATTTCCCACCCAGAATTTATGTTGGAGTGAAAAACTGTCTAAATTCTGAATGGCAGGATACCGAGAACAAAGGAAACGGTGGTGCACGCAGTGGGGGAAGGGCAGGCAACATGGAGCAAATGCAGGTGCCGCTGCAGAAGAGGGGGCCTGGGAGGAAGTCAGCAACTGGGCCTCACCTGCCTGCAAACCAGCCACGGGGACACAGAAGCCCCATGGTGTCCAGCTTCCTCTGGTGCTAACCATCTCTGACTCATGGGCGGGTCCCTCAGGGCTCACTTCCTCCTCCACCTCGTCCTCCTCCCGCCCTGAGCCAGCAGGGGTTACTACAGGACAAGTGCCTGGTAGCCACAGAGCTGAACTTCCAACTGCTGCCCCTCCCTCGCTGGTTAAGACGCCATCATCATTGGTGAAGTTGGGCAATTAGTATGACCAGTTCTGGCTTTCAGAGAATACAGGGTGAACAAGACGCATGTGGGGCTGGGAAACGCTCCTCTTCACTTACAAACATTGGTTGAGCACCTGCTGTGCTGGATGTCATACCAAGATTCTGCCACAGTTTTCAGGTGTTTGCATTTCTGCATCGCAAGCTATCTTCACTGTAAGCGAGCGCCATCCGAGCATTTCCAACCACCGGGACAGCGTTCCTAAGGCCACCTGTACCCGATGGACAGAAACTGGTCTATACTGCTTACGGGTTTGCCACAATTTGTCTGCACAGATGAACCAAGCCAAACATAACAAGGCCTTCCTGGTCATTTGGTGCATTTTTTTGGGTAAAAATCTTGCTTTCACGTTCAGGAGAGAAAGACTGAAAACTTACGGTGGAATTTCAATAGGCTTGGACGAACCAGCCCAACCCCGAGTCTGTCACAGAATTTCTTAACAAAACAGGCTGGATGCTGTGAAAATGTGTCAGGTAACAATGCTCTGCAACCAGCCGGTGAGAAGGTTTAGGATCCGTTCCTGATTGTGCAAACAGACGTAAAGTCATCCACCAACCACCTTGGCTGGCAGGTCCCAGCACCCAGTCGGTCCAGATTCTAAAATTATGGTTACCAAGAAGTCCAGGGTGCCCATGCCCTCAGCTTCCCGAGAGTAGGAAAACAAAAGGAAGGTAAGAGGGAGGGGAAAAAAAGGAAGAAAAATTAAAAAGTGTGTCTTGGTGGATCTTTTTCAAAAATTAAGAAGGGTCAAATCTAGGTTCAAGTTGGGAATCCTAAAAAAATGACAGTATTTCTGTGGCATGCGAGTCGCCTCTATTGTTCCAAATTCCTCATAGATTTTCAAAATGTTTTAAGTGATTCGTTAGAAACTAGGGACTACCGTTTCTTGGTGATGTGTAATGTATCCTTCCCCAATATGTCCCCCACCCGAAAGTTGGGTGGGCGATGGGTGCTTGGAGCAGAATGAGACGAGGGGCAAGTACCACAGGAAGAAATAGGCCAGAAATCCCATCCCAAGTGGCACTGACCTCACACACTTTAAAAATCTAGAGCTGGCAAAGGAATATCCAGGTTGCTAAGAAAACTCAAAATACTGTCAGCTGTCGGTTCCTGTTCACAAACAACAAGCTGGTGGCAAGCTCCTGGACTGTGGAACTTTCCAGAGACCTCCCAAATTCCATCCTCTCTATCTCTTCTATTTTTATTTCTATGGTTCATTTGACAATAGTTTATTTTTTAAGTATCCTATCAACATCACCCGTGACAGTCCTTCTAAGATCCTTAAATGTAGATGATTCATTTCAGGAGAGGTCATGCTAAGTTGCCAGCTCCCTTTCAACACCTCAGACCTACGAGGGAGCACCGGTCTTCCATTTTGCTCTGAAACAGTAAAGAATAGTCCCACCTTGAAAGAGTAACCTAAACAGCCCCCAGTAAGGAGGACCCCCTGAGTGCACTCCCAAAACCGGCCACAAAGATGTGGCCGATCTTTGTTAATTCTTTGTCCTCGATGAGGAGTTAAGAGCCACCGGGAGTGTTGAATCATCTATCCATCTGTTCATATTATAGGTAAGGAAAAAAATCAGGCACAAAGTAATCAAATAGATTAGCGATGTGAGTGACAGAGTGGGAAGACTGAGCCCCCCCAACTTCAGACCTACATTTTCCCAAACAACCTGCTGCTTCCTTCACAGGTTCCTCTCGCCTCCTAACCCCCACAGCAGCCGCGCTCCCTACCTTTCTTCCTCCACCAGGGTCCTTCTGGAACGGAGTAGGAGAGGTCCTTGAATTCAATGTTGACAGCCGCCCTCCGAGGCAACGAGGACAGCCGCTGGGCCTCCGTGAGGCTGTTGTCCACTTTTTTCAGGTGTCCGTTCAGCAGGTCCTTCTCGGTGGACTCCATGTTGCCGGAGACCACCTCATCCACCGAGACGCACACCGACTTGGGCTCCGTCATAGCTGCAGTGTAACCGCTGGCATTCTATAAAAAAAACAGGGAGGAAAAGCCAGGAGAGGATATGAGCCACATAAAGGAAAAGAGCACAGGAGACTGGCTACTAGATTCAAGGTCATTGAATATTCATAACAAAACTTCTCAAACTACAGAGCGACTTTGGGAGAGATGACGGCTTGCCTAGAGGAATCTATTTTCTCTAGCCATCACTTTTTCTTCTATTAGCACAACAGTGCTTAGTATAAGATATGAAACTCATCTAACCAGTCTTTGTTTGGAGTCATAAAACCTAATCACAAAACCAGACTCATTGTTTCAAAGAATGAAACACTAGCCACCATAAAATATTCTCTATGTACAGTCCACTCATTAAAAATCCCAATAAAAGTGCATAAGGCTCCTAAAAATCTATAATTGAACATTGTATTTAAAACGAGCTTTCTTAGTGCCTTTCTCCTGGAAGCTCATCAGCATTTCTCATGAGCAAAAATACCATGTGAACCTCTGGGTTGTGTGGGAGCTAGCTTTTGTTTCCCTTGTAAATTTTCCAAATCACTTACAATTCTCCTTTCTCGCTGTACCTTAATAATAGCACTGAAAAAATTAGGAAGTTTGATATTTTTTCTCTATTACACAGACAAGGTAACTGAGACACAAACAATTTAAGGAACTTGAACTTGCTCTAAGCTCCATAATTAAGTGAGGGGCAGAAGTGATCCCAGAATCTGAGTCATAAAAGAACAAAACAAACTCCCCCGGCCCCCAAGATGCCCCTTCCAATGCATCACGTGAGCACCTAACATTTCATAGCTCAGTGGCCTTGAAGCTTCCATTGGGAGTCCACCGAACTGCTGCTGATGTGCTAGAAACCAAAAGTCTCTATGCAAAGAAAGGTATATCTTTTCTAATGGCTTGGCAACCCTGAAAAAATCAATATGCTTCAGGCACCGCTGAAACTCAGAAGAACCCTGGGGTGGACAAATATTATTCTGTGCTTTCTCTAGCTGTCTCTTGAATCAAGAAGGAACATTCCACAGAGGTCAGAAGCGTGGGCCTCTGTCGATGCTCCTTCATACCACAGGAGGCAGTCAGCCTGATCGGGAGAGGCTGTGGATAACCGTCTGGGGTCATTCAAGCCCCTGAGACTACAATAGAACTGGGGACACAGCGCAGCGCTGTTATTTCTCCTAAAGAGGAACAGTGCCGTGCTGTTCTTTTTCCACAAAGTTTCGCTAGGCATTGCTTTTGAGCGGATAGCTTTGTGATCATTATTGTTTCTAATCAAAAATCCAAAGCAAAACCTGAGAGTGGATCATCCCTAAATATTCCTACCAACCTAGCAACTCACATGGCCAAAACAAACCCTTCCTGCTTTCGGAATGTCTTCTTGAGGGCACCTGACTGTGTCCTGGAAGAGCTGGCATTTTTTCCATCATGGTACTGAAGGGCTCAAAAATCTTGGAGGGCTTGGTGGTTTTGAAGATCTAAAGCACAGAGGGAAGGGCAGATGTGGGCATAGGGGTTTCTGGTTCTTGTGATGTTTGAAAATGTTACTTTGACATTTAAGAAAAAGGCATGGTGCGCACACAGGCGCGCGCGCACCTCTCAGGCATCTCCTGCCTCTGGAAAACTTAACCAAATCAAAGCTCGGCTCACTGACGATAACACTCTGTGGATAAAAATTAAAGTGCAGAGTAAAACTGACAAAATTAAGCTCGGTTCGCTACTGACCCAGCCTGTGAAATGTTTCCAGTACAAACATAAGTAGGTTCATACATTCTGGAAGCCAGAGAAGGTCTGTGTTAGTCCAACATCGGGGCTCCTCAGAGCCTTGGCATGACAGGTGTCTCTCCAACTCCCAAGAGACAGCCACGGGACCCGCCGCCTCTGCCTCCGAGCTTGCTCTGGGCTCTCTGTGTCGGGGCCTCTTAAAACAGTAATAGCAGACGCTGCCATAGCTCAGCACGTTCTTGGCTTTGGGTGATTGGGAGAAAATGTGCAACTTCAGCTCTGGCACCCAGAGCAGGCACCAAAGGCCATCCCTTTGCCCGCCCAACTTGGCCTTCGGGGCACGTGCTGCTGTCCCAGGCTTATAACCCACTTCGACTCCGTAATTGCCCCAGAGGCACCAAACCCTGGTCTTGGGGGGGCAGTGGAGAGAACAATGGGCAAGCCGAGCTCCAGGCCTGGCCCCCAAAGTTCCTCCTCACCCCACTATACCAGAGAAAAGGCTTGGCAACCCTGAACAAAGGTGTCCGTTCAGCAGACACCTTTGTAACATATGAAGGGCCTGGGATGAGAAAAATCACACACACACACACACACACACACACACACACACCCCCACCGCAGCATCAGGGAGAAGGGAGGGAAAGGAAGAGGAACTCACAAGCACCATTCCAAAAGAGGGAAGGGTTTGTTCTGGCCCAGAGAAAAGGCTAACCATAGGGTTCCAAGCCCACGTCCTGCTGGCAGACTTGGCTCTACCTCGGGACCCCCAGTCCCTGCGTGTTCAGTTGGGGGCCAAGAGTATCCAGCAACTCCTCTCCAGTGGCGGCCCCCTTGGCCTCCACCGTGGCCAGCACTCCGGCTGCCACAGACCGTCCATGCTCTCCCCCAGTGTCCACCCCAGGTGGCAACCCCTGAGGAGGCCCAGGAGCAGGTCGCAGCTTTCCTTCCTGATGAATACAGGAATGGAGAGCCACTATCCCAGCCACCCCCTCACCACCGGCTGTAGTAGGTGCCAGACCTCTATTATTATGGGGCCTCATTTTCCCTACGAGACCCTAAGCTTCTCTAGTCTCTCACTCGTTCATTTAACAAACTGAGCACCACGTAAAGTCCTGGGGGTTAGTGGTCACCCACACGGACATGGCCTATAACCTCAGCAACTCACATGCAAGATCAGGCCCCAGGCAAGAATAGGGGCAATTAGTTACAATACTGTGAGGCAAGAGCTGTAACGAGACCATGCAGAGACTCAGAAGGGACATGCAATGCTGCGCAGGACAAAGCTGGGTGACTAAACTGATCTGGGAGTGAGGAGGGAGAGAGAGAGAGAGAGAAGCCAGTATTCACTATTTAGAGTATTAAACAATAACACCTCCCGCATAGTAGGTAAGTGACTATAAACAATGACTATTGATTCAGCGAGCACAATGAGCCCTTTAAACGCCAGGCGGCAGAGAGTATGCCTCTTACGCTCTCCCCAGCTCTGGCGGGGGTACTGTCATCTCCCCTCATCCATTTCAGAGGAGGGATCTAAGGCACAGGGAGACTGCCCGACGTGACCAAGACCCCACGTTTAGTGAGTAGCCAAGGCGGGGCCCAGCTCTGCGTGGCTTGCATATGGGCACCCTGTCCTCCCAGCCGGCATCCCTAGCAGCGCGTAGCCTTTTACAGACAAGTTGTAGGTGTCCCTGGGTCATCCCAGCCCCTGTCCATTATAGGGACACCCACAACAAACTGAGAAAACCATACAACTCCACCCCAAATAAAGTAACATCACAGCTGTACGCAGCATTGTCCACCTTTCCTCTGTGGGTGTCCACTGGCCTCGCCCAATTAATAAAATCATGGAATCCTGTATGATGGGAGCTGGTGGCTGTCACTCCAAAATAGACCAATTCTCTGGAAACACATCCTTAGCTGAGAGCGACCTGCAATGTAGGTTACAGCTCGCTGTCTTCAGCATCCTGAGCTCCTTAATAACGAAACAAATACATCTTCCTTCTCCAGTGGTTCCATTTCCTTGTATGTTTCCCTACTTTACCAAAACCTTGTCTTGACCTCACCCCCTCCACACACAATTTATGCTGCATAATAAATGGTAAATAATAGTAAGTCCATTCATGGGTGTTGAATGCTGAGGCGCTCCTACTGGGACTGATCCTGCTGGCTGTTGGTGAGAATATCTCCTTTGGTGCTGATTTCAACTTGAATGCTCACAGAGACAGATTCCTGTTTAGCTGGAGAAGGTCCCTAACAGGCAGCGACCCATCCCACCTGCCACCCACTAGGCTTTTGTGAGGTTGGCTCTCTCTACTTACCAGGGAAGCATAGTTAGAGACAGACAGAGAGACACACACACCTGCATCACAGGAAAGGGAGGAAAAGGAAGAGGAACTTACAAGCACCGGGTGCTCACATGCACTTTCTCTCACTTCTCTTTTCGGTTCACCGCCAACGGCCTTGGTTCCCACCTAGGCAGACCCTTCCCTGGTACCCCGGGCACATTAGAGGAAAACGTACCAGTGAGAATTCTCAAGGCCACTGCCTGCAGAAAAATAACCCAAATGGCACACCCTTAACCAAGCAAAGGGCAGATGCCACTTGGGTAGTCACTCGGAATGCCAAACTCACCAAAACCAAAACCCTGGTTTCACATGACCTCAAATACCACCATCCCCTTGGAAACCTATGGCTGCCCCTTCCACCAGCTCGGGGACTCCACTGCCACTACCCAGGGGGCACTGGCTACTCTAACTCACACCTGGCCCACTCAGCACGGGCTAAACCCCAGAGCTGGGGTGACGGTAAGGCAACCCCCGGGATCCTAGGGAGCTCTCCAGACCTCATTGTTTATGACTTGAGTAAAATTCCTTGGATCAAACAAACAAACAAAACTCAAGATTTCCAGAGAGAAAATATATTTTTTTTAAAGTTCCCTAAAAAATAAGAGTCCAGCCACTAGCATCGCCACATGAGAACAAAACACTTGCGTTCTGGGGCTGTGTGTCCATCACAACGTAACATAAAGACAATCCTGACATAAAAAGCTCAAAACATTCTGATTCATTATTTTCCAACATGGGTAAGGCACTTTAGCGGCCCTGAAAGGACTTCAAGAGTTACCCAGCACCAAAAAGACCTGAAACTTTTTTACTTGCAACTGACAATAATAATCTTAATTTTCCATTATCAGCATAATTTAGGAATCCCAAATACGCAGGCAAATGTAAAAGGCAGGATTGCTGAGTACAATGCAAACGCCCAACCAGATCCAAGCAAATGTCATGGGGAGGGAATTGCCTTTCCTGGCTTTCCCCCGTCCACCCTTCTTATCTGTAAGAAGCCAAATGATAAAGGCAGAGCAAGCCCAGAGATAGGATCTGGCCTGCGAGTCCCTCGGCTCCCCCTGCTCTACCAACCTCCTTAACGTGCCCGTGGCCCCATTCTATCAGTTTACACAAAATCATTATATAATGAGCTGGCGAGGCGCGGTATGTTCTACAGTAACCTGTTTGGAATCAGAGGATGCAGCTGGCAGAACAGAGCATGCGCAGAAACCCGGCTACATTTTTTTTTTTTCCTCTTGAGCTTAAGGCAAGAGGTAACTGTCGGTCAAACACTGCTGAGCCCTGCTGACTTCAATACAGGATGCTAAAAATGAAATAAGGCGAGGGGTGGAGGTGACAAATTGGTGTCGCTGTGCTCTGTGGGCTTATAGCCTATGGGAAGGAACTAGCAGGATAGTAAATACACAGACAGAGGACAGAAAGAGGGATGGATAGGGAGGGCGATATGGATTGGAATACGTAATATGCTCTATTTGTACTTTAGATGACCCGAAATCCAGTCCATAAGTACCCACCTAACTGCAATGCCGGCTTGCTAGTCATGGAAATGAAAGGCCTTAGCATATAGGTGGGCCATCCCTTAGTTGGTTTGTTTTGTCCTACTGTGAGCTTATGGAGCTATCATAAATGAGCCAGAGACTTTTGACTACCCCTGGGAAGAGCACTTGCTGTATCTAGCAAGGAATTCACCAACACCGAATGGTCCCCATGCGGAGCTGGCACCCCCCTGAGACGTTAAGATGAGTGCCTCTGTCCCCACCCCCCACCCACCCCGCGTCTCTCTAAAGGATGCAGAAAGGTGGCCTGCAGGTATCCAGGCTCCTTCTTGTCTGCCTCCCCGGGACTCCGCCGCCCCCTCCGGAGCAGGTCCCAGAGAGTTCCCGGGGAGCTAAGGGGCAGTGCAAGGCTCTGGCTTCGGGGAGCAGCTCCCTCTTTTGTTCCCCGAGATCGTGCCCGGGAGCCCCTCAGGGTGGCGAGAGAAGTGCCGGCTTCAGGAGCCCCGGCCGCACGCGCCAGCAGGAGATGGGACCCTCTCCGGTCCAGGGTGTCGCCCTCCCCAGTACACACCAGGTCCTCGGGCCCCATGCCCCTCAGCCAGAAGCGGACGAGGTCAAGGCCATCTGTCCACTTGTGGGGGTGCTGGCCGTCTCCCGCCCACTCCTGGAGCCTCCACCTTCCCGGCGTCCTCGGCCGGTGCAAGGAGCATCCCCCAGCGCTGGATTGCGAGGACGTGGGCGATGGGAGACCGGGACCCAGGGGTAGGTGTCAAGGTGAGGGTGCGGGTCTTTGTGTGTTTGCTGCTCTCCTGGAAAACAGAACCAAGCCCCGGGAGCGTAAGATGCACTCACTCACCATGGCGGTGCCGACCGAGAAAGCGGCCATCAGACAGGCCATGCCCCGGGGGCGGCGGCGGCAGCAGCGGCGGGGACTAGGCGGCCGCGGTGGCGGCAGCAGCGGCGAAGGAAGAGATGGGCGGCGGGCACAAGGCTGCGCTCGCTCCTGGCAGGGCCACTGCGCCGGGTGCGGGTTCCAGCTCCAGCCGCTGCCGGGTTCGCCCCGCCCGCGTAAGCCCCGCCCCCGCCCCGCCCACACCCCGCCATAGGCCAGTGGGCGGGGCCGGCAGGTGCGCGTGCTCTTGTTTTGCTCTTGCTGGGGGCAGTGACCCAGCTCGCCGCTAGATCCACTCCGAGAGCCTCCTGCGCCCCTTGGCCAAGCAGGCGCTGTGGGCCGTCCCCAGTCCCGGAGCCCCTGAGTCAGGAAACTCTCAGGGGCTAGGCCAGCGGCCCAGGGCTCTGACACACAGCGGGGTCCCTCTCTAGGACCGCCATCTCCAAGCCCGCTCGGCTGTGGCCAAACCGGGAGCCCAGGGAGGGAGGGAAAGGGACAGGGGATCTTCTCTTTTCTTTTTTCGTTCTTGGGCATGTCTCTGCCAGGTAGGACCGTGAAGACTAATGAAGAGATGACTTCTCCATCTCTCCCTTCTCCACTACAGCTCCGTATCTGGGGTGACCACCCGTCCCAGGCAATGCACACTGATACACGCAACATTGCTTTGCGCCATTTGCAGAACTAAGCGCTGGTAACAAAGGGCTGGTAACGTAGGTGAAGGTGCCCAGACCCCTGTCCTCCCCCTCCAACCCCGACCCTGCCCCCCAACACAGTAAGAAATAGCCTTGCTTTTGCTGAGTGGTGTTTCCACTGCCTAGCCCAGTACCTGGTCCACAGCTGTGTTCACATAACTGAATATGGAATAACACTCCACCCACCCTCTCATTTGGCCCCAGACTGGAATATCAGATGGCCTGACATCTGCTAAAGCCCTTATATATAAGTGGGACCATTTCTTGGTAACCATGGTGACAGGCATTCCTTACTCCCAAGCTCAGAGGCTCCTGTTTTTTTTCACTAGTTTTCATGTTGGGACCACACACAAGAAGGTATTTATTTTCACCTCCAGCACACCTGGGTTTCCCCTCCCCACCGCACCTCATATAAATGAGCCCATCTTCTCACCTAGAAAGCAGGCACAGCTTTTCATACCGGGCAGGTAGACGCCACACCCGCAGGTCTGATGACCGTAACCAAATTCTCCCCTCAAATCAAGAATTATGTTGTGTGAGTTCAAGGGGGAAGCAGCCCTGCTTCTGTCTGAATAGTTTCATTTGAAGAGTTGATGCAATACCCCTCTACTCTATCTGCCTGCTGTATTTCCAGGTGCCCCTCCCCACGTGTCCAGCCCAGGGGGCCATGTGGTGCCTTAAATGTACTAAACAGGGAAGTCAACAACCTCTGAATGTTCTGGAAAGAGGATTAAAGTCCACAACATTTCGGCGAGCGTTTAGGCCAAAGAGCAGGGACCAAGGTGCCTTATCTCTGGGGTCTGGGGTTGTGCACTGCCCTGCAGCCGCCGCCTATCCCAGGGGCTGATAGGACAGAAAGCAGGAGAGGATGACAGGGAATGCGGCTGTGGGGGGAGTGGCTGTGAGAATCTGGCTGAGCAGTGCCAGCTGTGCGACAGGACAAGTGACATGACATTGTGGTCCTGTTGTGCTGGCATCTAATCTCTGTCCAGTAGCTGGTCTCCTCACTCTTAAGTGCCTGTCCAGAGAGTCCTTCTGGAAACCTCCTCTGCCCCCCAGTTCTATGCAATGAGAACCAGAGATGTACATATGGTGATGGATGCTTGCTGGGCTCCTGGGAGTGGCCAAGGTGACAGTGAGCAGAGCCTGAGGATGAAGCCCAAGTGGGAAGAGAGGGGCAAACGGGTTCCTTGTTGGCGTGCCTTGAGCTGCAGGCCCCTGGAAGAGCCCTCACGTCTACGTCTGTACCTTGTGATAATCTTAGCCGTGTGGGAAACAGGGCATGTCAAGCCCCGCTCACCACGCATGGCACAGAGCAAGCACTCCGACTCTAATCCTCACAAATCTTACCCTCTTATGCCACGTTAGGGAATAAGCAAATGGTAGAGTAGGTCAGATACGGGACATTTGTATTGGGACCCTTGGCTGTAAAGGACAGAAACCCAAGGTTCTAGACGCACTGGTTTCAGGCCCGCCAGGGCTGAGCGCCCATTCTATGTCCTCAGCCTCTGGCCCATAGCTCTCTCCACGGCTCTGCTGTCTATCTGCCGGCTTCTCCCTCGGCTTGGCTGCCTCTGCACGGCCCTCCTAACAGGTCCGTGCTTGTATCCTATCAGCTGGCAGCCAGCCTCTGTATCCAGGGGGCTGCCAAACACGAGTGGCCTGGCATGAGTCATATGTGCTGAACAAGCCAAGGGGAAAGTCAGCCCCGACAGAACCGTACAGAGCGGTTGGCATCTGAGTGCTTCACCAAGGCCATTTCAGGGCACTTTGAGGGGAACCATGGTGCCAACCATGTAAAGACACGAGGAGCTGACGCCAGGATGGTCCATTCCAGACCCCGACCCCAGGAGCTGTTTCTGCTAAGATATCACTGACAGGTGGGCTGGGCTGGGCTGGGCCTGAGAATTTCCAGCGTGGAGGCACCTTCTGCCTCAACCAGCAGCCTGTTCCAGTAGTAAGTAGTTGTCATTGTTAGCAAGCAGTTCCTGTGACTAATCAAATTCCCTGTCACCCCAGAGCTCTGTGTTCCGCAGTCACAGGGTCAGTGAGCCCCTCCTCCACACAGCAGGCCTTAAACTAGTCAGTCATGGCGCCATAGTTCCCTGGAGGCCTTGGCTTCCGCGGACCAAACATCGCTGGTCCTCCCAACCTCGTTTCACGGAGACCCCCTTTCTTCATGCTCACCTGTCTCTGCATGAGTTCTGTTTTCTCAGGGTTCTTTGTGAAACTTGGGGGTACCTCTGAATGCCTATTCGGGGTACTCTCTCCTTGCTAATGAGCCAGCTCTCCCAGGGCCGCTCTCACCATTCCTGAGGACAAGCCTCCTTGCACACGCAGGTCCACGCACTCCATCAGCAGTTAGCTACGTTCGCTTCCCTTATAATTATGTACTTTCAGTTGCCTGGTTTGCATTGTATCCCCAAAATTCCATTTTTAAAGAGTGTCCACTTTATCTCTGCACACACCCAGCCACTGAGGCTGGGAAATGACAGGGGGCACCCTGAGGACTTGGTCTCTGGTTTGAGGATCCTGCTCTTGGCCTGACTGCCACGGTGTTCTGTCTCCAATGTCCAGATGTCCCCACCCTTTTGGGGGGCCCCTCCCACCCCAACCTGCCAAGAGGTGGGGGCAGTAGAGGGGCTGCAAATAGAAAGTGGAGGGAGCAAGAGGGGAAGTGCCCAGAGGCTGAGATGAAAAAAACAAGATTAATGAGAGACGTTTACAGGGAAAATGCAAGTGACTAGTTCCTAAACTAAGTTGGGAAGAGGCAAAGTAAGTATTGCAAACAGTTTATTTCTGTTTCCTTCCATTAGCCAATGGCATGAAAGATCTAGGAAAGTATTTCTACAAATGAACAGAGGAAATAACATCTGGCATTGAGATGACCTTCAAAGCTGAAGATTAGGACAGACGTCTCAAGACAGACGCTGGAAAATTACTGGCGGCCTCCTGCTCACACTGAAAAGTAAGAGACGTCCAAACCTGTAGAGAATTTTTATGAGTTTATTTGAATCAAACTGATGACAATTGCCAGGAAGCAAAATCTCAACAGATTGAGAAAACGCCAGGGGAAATGACAGCTTTGCCACTTATTTTATAAATCAGAATCAAAGGGGAAGACATGAGGGGGTTACCTGGTGATAGGTTAGGGGGGTGGGAGAAAGCAAAGCAGGAAATCTCTGAGGCTGGGTAACAAGTAAACCAGGTAGACACCTACTTCTTTTACATAGGCAGGTACGGAAGAGTTAAGAGTGAACAACACTGTAACAATAACAACGAGAGGTTCTGCAGTCTGTGCTCTGGGTCGGGGGGGAGGCTGTGCACTGAGGGGTCTGGAGACAAAAATCCGAAATGTCCCTGACATTCCAAAGGTATGTTATTGTAAATGCAAGAAGGCAACACACAGGCTCAGTTAAGGTAAAGACTGACCTTTGTTAGGAAAACACATAGGCTTGGGATGTGACTCTCAGCCTAGGACTGCTTTTAGTTAGAAAGTATTAATTTCAGACAATCCTGCGCAGTTACTGTAGGTCTCTGAGTCTGTAAGGCGGCTGCACAGGCCTCCCCTGAGCTTGCCGGGTTTAGTGTGTGGCCCCGTTTTCATCCACAAATATGAAAGCCTCCCGTGTCCCTACCCACGTGTCTGTGCTCCCCACTTCTCCTCTGAGCGGCCACTCTCCTCTAAGTCCGTGTGATCCATCCTAGAACACAGCCCCGGTCAGTCAGAACGGCCCATCCCCCGGACCAGTGTAGCTGCTGTTCTACTGTAGAAAGGCTTTAAAACCCACTGGAACCATGGGAGCCTCATGGGGACTTGCTGGGCCCCTGGAAGAGGAGGGTTCCCTTCCCTTTGTGAGTTGGCAGCCACATGGCATGGCCACGGTTCTTGCTGTAAGGAGAGTGTCCAGGTGAGAATGATGGGACCGTGGGGACGGAGGCAGGGCTGCGGGCTGGGCAAAGTCGCAGCGCCCTTTCCAAGAGCACAGCCGCCTGGTGGTGGGCACGGGCCTCGGGAGCCAGGAGGCCGGCTCCTCGAGCAGGTTCGCATCCCCTACCGCCTCTGTGACCTTCGCTGGGAAGGGGGTGGCAATTGTGCCCATCTCATGGGGCTGTTGTGAGGATTAAATGAATCTATTTTTGAATATCATATCTAGCTCGGAGTGTTTCACTGTGACTTATAAACAGGCATTGGTTGTTCTCATTATTTATATACCATAGGAGACCCAGTACGCTTGCTCTGACTTGGAGCTAACATGAATTAGCTTTCTGTCACTTGCAGCTTGAAAAGTCCTGATTAAGACAGTTTGACAGTGTTGTTAAAAGTCAGGGCCAGAAGCCATCGTGGGGAAAATCCTTACAAATAGTTTATAGGGTGACCCTGGAAGCCCTTACTGCCTCAGCCGTTGTTCACTGCCCTCTCTGCCCAAGGAGACCATGCATCCCAGCGT